AAAGCTAGAATGATTTGGGATGGTTTTGAAGCTAAATGGGATATGGTATTTATAGTTGAAGGTTAAAGATTGATCTTGTAAATATCCTAAAGTACAGGGACTAAATTGCAATTATGCCTTGCTAATTTTCAACAATTTGGTGCTGCCTAATTTTTAATTTAGTCGTCGGCTGCCATGTTTAATTTTCCAGCCACCCCATTTGCTTTAACTTTCAACAATGAGTCTAATCTTAAATATTTAGTATTTATATATGGCGTAAACTATGCATTTAGTATCTAACTATTTGTTGTGATCCGTTTTAATATCTAAACTTTCAATTTTTTAAAAAGCATACTTAATGTTTAATTTTTTATTCATTTTCTTACCCCGCAGTTAAAAACTTAACGGAACTTTTACATGTGACATTTTTAATGTTTAAATTACATCATTCACCACTTAATTATCTTCTCACTCCTGTTTTAGTCATCAACTTTCGCATGATATTTTTTATTAATTTATTAATATATAATTAAAATAAAATAATAATTTTGAAAGTTAGAGTGAATAAATAAGGAGTAATTTAAAAGTTAGGTAATTAAGTTAAAAAATAAACTTCGATGACCAAAATAGCAGTGAGATGATAGTTGAGTGAAGAATGATATAATTTACCCATAAAAAAGTGTCAAGTTGTAACAATTCTGTCAAATTATTAACAATGAGTACTAAAACGAAATAAACACTAAACATTAGACATGATTTTGAAAAAAAATAAAAAATTTAAGTATCAAAATTGATAGTTTAGATACTAAATGTGTAATTTATCCTTATGTATTTTATTCGTATAGTATAATAATATCACATAGAATACTATTAAATATACAATTCAAATTTTCAAATCCCCATTTCCTACTAAAAGTTGCGTAGCCAATCATTTAGGATATACATTTTCCCTCTCTCCCAATATTTTCTAAAAAAAAGTTGAACATTGACAAGTTCTCCATATTGAAAGAGAATAGGAGATTACTTTTCTAGTTGAAAACCCTTTACAAAGGGTAACACTGCTGTCCTTTAAAAAAAATGGTTGGTGTTGATCGATGTGTACCTCCTTTATTTTTCTAAAGCTATGCAAAATGCTTCTTGTTTATCTGAACCTTGAGGATCAGTATCTACTTCACAATAAACCATGAATCCTACTCAAATTTCACTCCTTTTCTTCTATATAACGTTCGGACACTGTGGTAATCCCATTTATTTCCAAAAGAACAATCAAAATGTTGGGTATGGATATATATATATATTAATATTTTTAATGGGTAATGATATATTTAATTTTTAAAATTTATATTTTTATGTATTTGATCCTTATTTTTTATATCAAATTTAACCCTTAACAGCTAGAAATAAAATAAAATTTAACATTCAATCTTTTTCAAAAAAAAAATTATTTTTTAACGAAAATTCTAGTTAAAATGTTAAGTTTTTAAGAATCTAACATGATATCTTACATATATTCCACAAGTACTTTTTACAAAGATTATTTCCCAATATCTGTTACAGAATCTAAATTATTTGTTGATGTCACAAATAAGACAAAGAATATCATATTAACATAAATAATCGTAGGCCAACACATAATGCGTAAAGACAATAAATTGTTAATCGTTGTAACAGAAAACAAAACTGCAACTCCTAAACTTGAAATAAAAAAGAAGTAAAGAATCGACGGGTTGAATCAAGTGATAAGTAAAAAAGTAATTTTTAACCTCTTATCAGTGAGAGATTATATCGTGTGTAGACTCTCACTTTCGATCAAACATGAATACAAGCATTCGATTTTCAATTTTGAACCTTTAATTTAATTTAAATTTATTTCAACTATTTACTTTTTGATTTTATATCTAAGGTTAATATTAATAATAAATAAATTTATTTTTAATTATACTTTTATATACGAAGTAATATTTTAATTAACTTATACTTTCGTAGGTACTACATCCCGCTCCAACAAAATTTAAAGGCTTAAATACAAAAAAAGGTGCTCAATATATGTTTTTGGTTCTAGTTTGGTGTCTAACGTTTTTTTTTTATTCTAGTTTGGTGCTTAACGTTTCATTTAGTGACTCAGTTTGGGTCAAGTCGTGACGAACCGTTAATTTCGACCGTTAAATGTCACCTGATATATTTTTTAATATTAAAAGTAATTTCTAAAAATAAAAAAATAATTAAAATAAAAAATAATTTTTTTCCCTCTCTTCACCTTTCTCTTTCCCCGCTTCACCAAAGGTAACAAATCCCACCAGTAAGGTATCACCATTTACAGTGTCACAATACCAAGAACTAGAGTAAAACCCCCTCTTCTTCTTCTTCTTCTTCTTCTTCTTCTCTCTCCCTCCCTCCCTCCCTCCCTCATGTTCTAAGATTTGTTTCCCTATTCAGAAGAGTTTTGTTTTGATTTGAGGAATTTTTTTTTCACTATGTTGTTGTTTTCTAGTTTCAAAAATTATAATTTTTTTTATGTATTGATCTATTTATTTTTAAAACCATATAGATTTGTTTTTGGATTTTTTTAAAAATGGTTTCCTTTTTAAAGGGGGTTTTATTGTTTATTTTGTATGGATGAATGGATATTTGATATTTCATTCATGCTTTTAGTTTCAAATGCCGAGAAATATTCCTTAAATTAATTGACTTTGAATAGTTGTTTGGTTTGTGGGATAAGGTCTTTATTTGTGCGTTAAAATCACACCTTTTTTTTCATTCTCAAATTTCTTAGAGAAATTCCACCCATAAAAAATATTTTTGTGTTTCAAATTCTTTACCTTGTTCTTTTTTTTCTTTTAGGTTTCTTATAATGACATTACCTTCTTCATAGATTAGTTTTATAAATTTCTTTTACTTTTGGAATAGTTTCTTTCAAAATATTCTTCTAAGGTGATACCAAATCCTTTTCTTTTTTGTTAATGTCTTAATCATCAAGTATTATATCACTTCCTTTTTACACTTTTTATTCATATTCTGATATTTGTGATTATATAATTTTCTAACATTATTGCTATTATCTATCAATGATTTTTTCTTCATGTTTATGAATTTGGTGGTTGAGCTTGAATAGATTGTAATTTTGTGAAGAATTAGCTGTTCATTGAGTTTGTCTTTAATGGAGTTCAATCTACAACTGCAAATTCCAATTTCTTGATTCATACTTTAAATTTCATTTCAATCACCTTTGTTTTGGTTTGATTGGAGATAAAATTTGTGTCACCAAAAGTTTAATATTTGTAACAAAATTACTAAGTGTGCGTTTGGTTCACGGAATGTAGGATTACCAGTGGAAATAAAAGATTACCAAGGAATAGGATTAATAGAATGTTGTATTTTGTGTTTGGTTAGTTTAGAAGGAATGTAAGATTACCGTGTTTGATTAAAGGAATAAAAGATTATTAGAATGTATATTTGACCAAATTGTCCTTATTATATATTTATTTTTTTAACAAGTTGGAAAATATTTATATATTTTCTTTAAAAAATTTAAATTCATAAAATTTATATTTTTTTACAAAATTGAAAATATAAAAAGGTTTAATGAAAGGGTAAAATTTTATTTTAACCCTTGAACTTCATATAAAATTTTAATTATAGATTTTTTTTGTAAATCTAAAATAGTTTAAGGATAAATTTGTAATTTAACATTCGTAGAATTTTTATTATTCAATGACAAAATAAGAATATTTTTGAAAAAAAATTAAGGGCGTTTTAGTCCAAAACGCCGGTAATCCAACAATACCTAAGGAAAGGGAGGTAATGACATTTCCGATAATATACCCAAAAAAAATCCACTACTGGTAGTTTAAGATTATAGGGAATCATATTCCCAGCTAACCAAACGGGGAAATGTGGATTCCATTCCCATGGGAATCTCATATTCCCCCAACCAAACACACCCTAATAGTCATTATTAATTTGTCAATAAAAACTTTTATTTTTGTAGTGATACTTGTAACGTAATTTAAGACTGTCACAAGTATACTATTATAAAATGATAAATTTATTAGTGAAAAAAATGTTATTGTTACAATTATAAGTAATAATAATAGTGACACTTAATATGTTATAACTATTACATCGTTTCCTGTTAAAAAAATTTGATGTCAATTCAAGCATTTTATCAGTAATCAAATAAAAGCATGACACAACTATTTACTTCAATAATGATAAATAATTGTCGTTATAAATCACCAACTAAGACTAGTAGACAAAATGTTCTCCTCACAATTATGAATACAATAAGCGACTACTTAATATATTGTCACTATTGCAATTTTTTTTTGTGAAAAATAAGTTGACGTCAATTCGACCATTCTGTTAATAACTAATTGATAATGACAATTTGCTTTGGTCACAATAAAACATTATTAATCACGAATTACTTGTGATAAACTTTAAAATTATCACAATTATTATCTAAAGAGTGACCAAATAAAATAAGTCACAATTACTCATTTCAAAAGTGGTAAAAAATAATTCGTCATAAATAACATATTTTTTGTGACAGAATTTTTTAATGTCATAATTAAATGGTCACTAAAAATCTTAGTTGTTGTAATGGTCACTAGTTCCATCCCATATGAACCGCCGGACTATAGCCTCTATTTGCTCGCAAACTGTTATTAAATTAGTCTAATAATAATAATAATAATAATAATAATAATAATAATAATAATAATAATAATAATTTGTTAGAGCATATAATCATAATAATTTTAATTATTATTATATTTTTAAATCATATAATAGTTATGTTAGATGATTTTATTTTTCTATTTAAATTAGTCTAATCGTTAATATCTTTTTAGATTCGTAACTGAATCTTGTGCCGATTCTGATTATGATCCTAATTATTATCTGATCCAGGGAAATAATATATGATAATATTAAAAAGTAGGAATAAGATGTATATAAATAAAGCTAAAGTAGCTTGATAACTTACCATTAAACTAACAGTTGTCCCTTTGTTGAACTCGTCTGGTATCCATTAAAAACTTAGCTCTGATCTTCTTTAGCTTCGAAACGATCTCTTTCATCTCAAGCCTCTCATCCGGTGATTCTGCTGAACAGTCCAAACCAACTTGCAAAATGGATAAGGCACACTTGTTGGCTGCTGCATGTTCTCTCCCAATAGTGCTCTGCAAATTGGCGTCTACAACTTGATTTAAGGGAGATGATATTGACTCTTTTACCCAACTCTTCAAACTTCTTTCTCCGGCGAATATTTCACCAGTGGGTTTTTTTCTTGTGATGATTCCCATCATAAGAATACCAAAACTATACACATCTCCTTTTGTCGAAACAATTCCTTCTGTTCCATACACTGTATAAATTTATAATAGCTTCATGAATATTCAATGGAAAAGAAATGTTTTATATATGCATGTTAAAATGGAATTCAATGGGTCTAAAATTTAAGTTTGATCCCTAGCCTGCTTATCCATGTGCAACACTTGCATTATATATATAAAAAAAAACTTTGTTTAATTAGAAGTATCACCTGGTGCCAGATACCCAATTGTTGCTATAGTCAGGGTTTGTATCATTGAATCCTTTTTCACATAAGAGTTTTGCAATGCCAAAATCACTCAAACGTGCAACCATATCTTCATCTAATATAACATTGCTGGATTTTATATCACAATGAACCACCGGTGTCACACTACCGTGATGGAGATATTCCAGCGCCGATGCAACATCTATCATTATGTTCAACCTTTGTAGGATATCCAGAAAATGGTTGGTGGAATACAACCATTTATCAAGACTCCCATTAGGCATGAATTCAAGGACTAAAGCTTTGAAATCGAGATCATTAGAGCAACTACAGATGATTTTGATTAAATTCCGTTGACGGGTGTTGCGGAGAACATCACATTCAACATCGAAGCACTTAAAAGCTCTTTCTAACTCCAACTTGAAGACTTGTACTGCAAATATCATCCCAAGAGATTCCCTTGGTACACAGAATCATAATTCCCATTACAAAGCAATTTTGTTTCATTGAATCCATCAGTAGCTTGATGAAGCTCATGGTACGAAATTCGTCTCCATGTTCCTAAAGGTAGAAAGTCTTCCTCTGATGTTAATCTGGCCTTCCTCTTCCTACATCTCAAGATATTGATAATTAGATCTATCATAAAAATAAGCGCCACATATTTTATGAGCTTAGCCTTGGAGTTCTTGAGAGGTTCAGTTTCGCAGCTTGGAAGATGAAGTTGAGGTGCACCACACAATGCTTCGTTCCCCTGAAATGATTCGATCGAGAAGTTTCCAAATGATCCTCCTTCAGGAATTTCTCCATAAAGTCTATTGAAAGAGACATTGAAAGATTTGAGATAACAAAGTTTCTCTAAAGATTTTGGAATCTGTCCCGATAGATTATCTCTTGACAAGTCCAAGAACTCCAAATTCAACATGTCTCAAAATGACTCGGTAATAGAACCCGTGAGTCTATTATTGGATAAGGAAAACAGAGTGAGGTCTTTGAGATCTGCAATCCCAGTTGGGATATAACTCGAGAAATGATTGCTCGACAAATCCATACTAACCAAAGCCTTCCACTCTCCAATGTCTATCGGAAGAGGACCACTTAGAGAGTTTGAAGACGAGTTCAAGATGAGGAGATTGATAAGCGTTGTCAAGGTTGAAGGTATTGAGGAAGAAAACATATTGGAGCCCAGCAAGAGGTTCCTCAGGGAAATGAGGTCACCTAAACAAGCAGGTACGAGTCCGGAAAAGTTGTTACTTGTCAAGTAAGCCAGATTGTTTAGATGGCATAACTCCGATGGGATGGATCCGTCTAGCTTATTGTACGAAAGAGAGAGACTCTGCAGGTCTTTTAATGCTCCAATTGTAGCAGGAATTATTTCCGTCAACTTATTTCCAGCTAGCTCGATGTTTATCAAGCGACTTAAGTTGCCAATATCACTAGGGATGCCATCCCTGATGTTGCAAACATCTGCAGAGAACTCCACGAGAGAACCTGAGAGATTCCCTACCAAACCTGGGAGCTTACCACCAATCAATGTGTTGTCGCCGAGGCCCAACGTTTCCAATACTCTACAGTCTGTCCAAGAAGAGAGAACTCATTCCTGAGGAAGTTAAGTCATTATCCGCCAGGTTTAGCGTCTTTAACTTTCTTAGATTGCCCAGATTGTTATGAATGGGCCCTGTAAAGTTAATTACTTGGCATGTCAAGAAGAGTAAGCTGAGAGGCATTGGAAATAGACACTGGGAATGGACCGACCAATTGATTTCCTCCGAGGTATAATTGTTCCAGCCAAAGTCCCATGTTTGATGGAAGATGGCCAGGCAGCTGATTCAAAGATAAAGCAATGATCGATAGAGTTGAAACATTAAATACTGCGGGAGGAATAATACCAGCAATATTGTTATCTGCCAAGTTCAAGAATTCTAGATTCTTTAGGTTGCCAATATCACCTGGTATGGTAACTACCATAAATTTTATCAAACAAATATGTTAGACATGCGGGGAATAAATGAGTTAAATTTTGATGTATTTTTATAAAGTAAATGAAAATGTATGAAATTATATATTTTTAATATATCAAATATGAATTTAAATAAAATATTATTTGAATAAGTATATTTCGCCAATGATCTAATTGTTTATCTTTGTTCCATCATTTTTCTGTAACTCGTGAATTCTAGATCCACTAAAAATGCTCCCCTGCCTTTACTTGTAATCCCTATAAAATTGTATTTTATATAGCTCTTGCAAATATTGAAATACATGAGATTGCTCTAAACGGAACTTTTTTTGCTTTAAAGAATGAAAAATTAATATAGAAAAGGGCAAATTATACTTGTGATTATTAGGGGAGGATATTAATTTGATTAACCATCTTTTAATTTTGGGATAAATTACACCATTCCTCACTGAACTTTACTCTCTCTCCTATTCTACTTATTTTACTTTTAATTTTTTTAATTTACTCACTGAACTTTCGAATTGTTCTTGCTTTGATAATTTTGAATTACTTTAATATTATTTTCCTATGACGTGACATTTTTAAAAATAATTTAAAATATAAACTAAAATCAGAAGGTGATAGAATGCCACCGACGGTTGTCGTAGACGGTGGTCGTTCGGTCTCAAATTTCATGAGTCGCTTCGCATCGACACCTAAGTCTGAATCTGAGCTTCATTTTATCAGAAATTACTCTGAAGTCCACGAATTGGAGATCGAAAGTGAGGAAGCTGAAATGTTTTGATCGATATTCACGAGTTTTTGGATATTTTTCGATGAAACAACTACTAGATCCGGACTCAAAGGGTCGAGGCAAATGGACCAATAAATTTTGAGACTGAACGACCACTATCTACGGCGGCCGATTGTGTTCGACGGTTGCATCCGACCTCCTTATCTTTTTATTTTATATTTTTAATTATTTTATATTAAATAATAATAAAAAATGTCATATCTTACGAAAATAATAATAAAATAATTTAGAGTTATCAAAACAAGAGAAATTCAAAAGTTCGGTGAGTAAATTAAAAAAATTGAAAGTACAATGACTAAAATATAAGAGAGAGTAAAGTTAAGTGAGGAATTGTATATTTTACCCTTAATTTTATCAATCAAACTAATAAATTATATTAAATCAAGTCATGTGTCGTTAACATTAGTTTGAGGAAATGATTTCATAATTAATAAAATTGATATAATTATATATTTGATCGTTATTACGTACACATTATATCAATTTAGTTTTAATTTAAATTTAATTCGATAAATTTAATCATTCAATCAGATGTTTATATACGTTACTAGTTACACATATAATGATATGTGTCATGACTAGATTGGATAGTTTTATAATTTTATTTTATTTAATTGAATAAATTTTCCTATATTGAAGCAGGCGTTGAGGTTGTTCAAACATATTGTTGGTAAGGTGGGACATCCTAACCACTATGCCGGATCCCTTATTTGATTTATGAATTACAATATTTATGTATATTTTATAATATAGTTAATGGCAGAAAACAAGAGTGGCCCAATGAAGACTTAAACATGGGCCACTTGGGGAGTACGAGAACACCCGAATCACTTATATAGAGAGGTGAGATCGAGTTACACAATATAAAATTAAAAAGTTTTACATTAATTTAATATCGTTATATAAGTGAAAATAGACGTTGTCATAATCGATTTTCGTTCGGGCACGAAATTTTACTTGGCGAAAAAAATAAATGATTTTGATTTAGAATATTTTAGGAGTCACCATTGACCTTTTTGGTTTAGGTAGGACAAATACCTAAAAATAATCTTTTAAAATAGTTTTTAAGAAAACATAATTTAAAAGATAAGCTGATATTCGTTTAATCAAAAATTTATTTTTTTAATAATAAAAAGGATTCGTGGTCGATTACGTTTGGGGAAGGGTTAGCACCCCCACAACGCCCAAGATTGATACTTTATTAATTTTAAATTTTCTTTATTATTGGAAATTTAAAAATTCAAAAATATATTTAATTTATAATCATGTTATTTCAAATTTATTAATATAAGAAAATCTATTAATTTATATATATAAATAATATATTTATTTATTTAGAAATATCAGAAAAGGGCTTCTAGGTGCTTTAAGACAGTTCTTTTCTTAATATAAAAAATAAATAAATATTAAAAATAGATATATTTTATAAAAGTAAGACATTTATTTATTTAAGAATATCAGAAAATGGACATCCAGTTGCTTTAAGACTGACCTTTCTTAATATTGAAAAATAAATATATATTTAAAATATAATTATTTTTCATAGAAAATAATTTAAATAATATGTATTTTCTGGTTTTTATAAGTAAGATATTTATTTAATTTTTAAAATACCAGAATAGGACATCTAGTTGCTTTAAGACTACCATTTTCTTCGATATTTGAAAAATAAATAAATATTATTAATTAAACAAATATATATATATATATATATATATATATATATATATATATATATATATATATATTTATATGACTAATATAATAAAATAATAATAATTAAAGTAATCAATTAAACATATTGGAATTGAAATGACAATAATACAAATTAAATTGCAATTAAATAGTGACTAAAACATATAAAATTAAAGTAATAGGATTAAAATATAAAATATTAAAATTTACAGCCCTTATTTATAGTATTATAAAAATATAATTACTAATTGTGTAATTAACCCTAATTATTAATAGGTTATTAAAATAATAATTATTAAAATTAAAGGCTCTAACTCGAATAATAAAAAGTGAGAGTGATAATAATGTAATTTAGCCTTATTTAATTAATTCGGGTTAAAATAATGATTACTAAACTGTAAGGGACTAAATTAGGTATTTACCCTAAATATATATAAATATGAGTAATGACTAAATTATAAATTAACTAAAATTATAAGGCCGAATTAAAATAACCAGGAATTGCTTTTAGTGACTAAATTTAAGAATTACAGAACTATAAGGGTTGTAGAAAGGGTTTATCCTTTCTGAAATTACACAGATACCCCTCCCCAAAACGACGTCGTTTAGAGAGGGGTATAAAAACCCAAAATCCGGCCCCTAAGGGCCAAGCTTCCTCATTTCTGTTTTCTCATTCTCTATCTTAAAGAGAGATATGAGAAATCTCCCTCTGCCCTCTCTCTAAATTATCTCCGGCCGATAGTCGTGCTCCGGGCCGATCACCACCGTCGGCCACCGTTCACGGTGGCCGGAGTTATGAAAATTAGCCCAAACCGTAGATCTTTACGTCCTAAGGTTGAATACAGCCTCTATTTATCCTAAAAACCCTTAGAATTTCCTAGATTTAGGATTTTACCTTCGAAATCCGAAGGTTTCCGGTGATGTTTCGAGTGCCTCCGATGACAAAGTAAACTCTCTCCTCTCTTCTCTTTTCCTCTTTTTTTATACTGGTTCGTCGTTGACTGGGATCATTGGTAGTTTGATATGTTTGTCTCGGTATTTGGGTTGCTCTCTTCGTCGTTCTCTCCTTGCTGTTCGTATCCTCCTTTTTTTTATTTTACAGGTGGTGGTGGCTTTTATAGCCACCATGGTGCTCGTTATGGACCGATCTTAGAGGGGTTTCTCGGTGAGTCACCGAACTATGTGGTGACTCACCATATAGCAGCTGTCATGGATGGTCGGTGTAGAGATTCTGGAGGCTTCGTCGAGGCGTGGCAGCTGTTTCTGGAATCACCTGGCAGTAGAGCGTCGGCAACGAGCGACGCCGCCGCCACGTGGACATTCTGGAAGCAGCGGTAACTAGATGATATCCTAGGGTTATGAAACCCTAGGGCTTCATGTTGGACTCCTGTGGACCGTTGGATGTCTCAGATCCAACGGCTGAAATTGGCTGGCGGCTATGAAGAAGATAAAACCCTAACTAGGTTTAGGGTTTATTATTAGGTTTTGGCCAGTCTGGGTTATAATTGGGCCTGCAATGTATTAAAATCATTTATTTATTTAATAATAATAATAAAATATAATAATAATATTAAAACAAAATAATAATAATAAATAAAACAAATGAAATAAAAAAACTAGTGTCTTCAGCTGCCTCTCTTTGTTCATTCTTGTGTTAACGAGAATAGGGAAAAGACGAAAAGACAATAAGTTTTTTTTCATTTGACTTCACTTGATTATGATGGAAATGTTGAACAAGTTCTTCTTCTTTGGGATTAGTTCTTCTCATTATGAACTTTTCCACCGGGGATGAAAATTTATCTACTTCTATGATGTAATCTATCAAAAAGTTGAACAAATTCTTCTCATTATGAACTTCTTCTTCTTTTTCAAATGAGTTCTTCTCATTATGAACACTTCTGGAAATGTTGATCTATCTCATTCTGTGATAGAGTCATGCAAAAGGTTGAACAAGTTCTTCTCATTATGAACTTCTTCTTCATCTTCAGATAAGTTCTTCTTATTATGAACTTTCTCTGGAAAAGTTGATGCTGATCTATCTCCTTCTGTGATAGAGTCATGCAAAGGTTGAACAAGTTCTTCTCATTATGAACTTCTTCTCATTCTTTAGATTAGTTCTTCTCATTATGAACTCTAACTGGCAATGCTGATCCATCGAGTGATGAATTCAAGCAAAATGTTGAACAAGTTCTTCTCATTATGAACTTCTTCTTCCTTCTTCAAATAAGTTCTTCTCATTATGAACTCTTCCGGAAATGTTGATCCATCAAGTGATGAATTCAAGCAAAAGATTGAACAAATTCTTCTCATTATGAACTTCTTCTTCCTTCTTCAGATGAGTTCTTTTCATTATGAACTCTTTCGGAAATGTTGATCCATTGAGTGATGGATGCAAATCTTTGCTAAAATCTTTGAAATTCCTTTGTAGTGTAGCAATTTATGCTATACTTTTGAAGAACCATTTGATCAACTTGTATCTTTGTGTCTTCTTTGTTTCATGAAAGTCTTAGAAGAAATATT